GGCGGGGCCGGCCTGCCAGACCCCACCCATGCATGAATTCGTGCACCGGGCCTCTAGTAGAGTCATAAAACATTATCTGGAAAGAACTTTCGCGCTCATCCTGGCAATAAAATAGCTGGTGTTTGTTGGGAGCTGTCTGTGTACTAAGACGTCACAATTATTAGCTAATCTTCACAGCCCCTGTTCAATAATTAGGAAACCGAGGCACAGGACGGTTTCTCAGATTCATGCAACTGCTACAAGGGAAGTGGCCAAGATTTCCATCTTGTCAGTCTGGAGCCTGTACCCAACTTACCCACAGTCCTCTTGGAGAATGTGACAAAAAGCTATGGAGCCCCCGGGAAATGGACTTTCAAACACAATTTTGCATACAATTTAAGGAGGGGAGGGGAGGGGACCCCGTGAAACTCAATCCACGTATCCCCAGGATGGACCCCCAATTTAGCCCAACTCATTCGTTTTTTCAGAATGTAGAAACTGAAGCCCAGAGAGGGGACGTGAACACCCCAGAGCCACCCAGCCAGTGAGGGTGAGGACTAGACCCCAGGGCCCAGCCTTCTCCTATGTCTGTGCAGGAAGGAGGAGGTAGTGAGGCTTCTGGCTGGGGATGGGGTCTTGGGGTCAGGTCAGGAGTTTCCAGCGTAAGGTGAAGGGGTGTCACTAATTTGAAAAGAGAACAAGATGTAAACAGTTTGGACCACGTGTCCCTGATTCCTGACACCACTGCCCCCAAACAGCTGCCCTTCCAGATGCCTCAGCCCCTCCCCCCCCCCCATGTGGGCCCTGTCCGTGCCACCAGGAACAGGGTGCCAAGGAAGAGTAAAGCAGGGGCAGGCAAGCCATAGCCTGCAGCTGTGACATTCACCCCCCACCCCCAACCATCTTGCCAGCCAGGCACTGATGGCACCGATTTCCCCATCCCAACTCCGGCCTGGGGAGGGGAAGGGAAGGGAAGGGAAGGGAGGAGGGTCTTCCCCCACCCAAGCTGTCCCCAGCCTGTGGCCATGGGGGAGGGGCTGTAGTTGTGGAAAGTTGGCAGAGGCAGCCGGCAGCAGCCGGGAGAGTGGAAAAAATGATATCAAACCCGGAAAAATGCAGGCCGGATGGAGGGCCTGAGTCGGCCCTGGGAGGTGAGAAGGAGGGAGGGCAGAAGAGAGGGAGGGATGGGGCCCCACAGGCTGAGAAAGGAAGAGGGGCCAGGGAGAGAGCACAGGAGCTATTTCTGAGAAAACTGAAGACTCTCCTATCATTCTTTTCTTCATCCACTAATACTTATCCAGGGCCTACTAAGTGCAGGACCCAGTGCCAGGCTCTGGGGAGATGGCAATGAATAGAACGAGTAGGATGCTGTTCCTGGAGCTCACAGTTGGGGGGGGGGCGGAGGGAAGGGGAGCAGATGGAAAACAAGTGAATAAAATAATTACAAACTTAGAAGGAGCTAAAAGTCAGGGTGGTCATAAAGGGCTCTAAAGACAGTCCAATCCACTCAACTCACAGGTGGGGCAACTGAGGGCCAGAGAGGGAGAGGGCTTACCTGAGGCTCCTGGGAGTGTGAAAGAAATCACTGAGACCAGGATTGGGGCCTGGGCGGTTTGGGGGAGTGGAAAGGGAGGGAAGAAATAAATAAATAGCGCAGGCCAAGGGGCGGGGAGGGGGGGGAATAATATGCAGCCAGAACCATGGTTGAGGTCAAGGACCCTGAACCAAGGGGTCTGTGTTCAAACCCTACTCTCCTGCACCTCTGTGTGCCTTAGTTTCCCCGTCTGTAAAATAGGATTCATGACAATTCCTTCCCTCGGAGTTGATGTGAGGATTAAATGACATGATGTGTAAAGTACTTAAAGCAGTTCCCACAGCTAGGAAGATTCAGTAAATGTTGATTCCTGCTATCTATATATATAAAAGCCTAATGTGTTCATTGTTCCTCTGACTGTTCAACCGTTTGACCAGTTGCTATGATGCGCACTGACCACCAGGGGGCAGACGCTCTGACCCGTAGGTTAGCTTGCTGCTGGGGTCCTGCTGATCGGGACTGGGTGAGACAGGCCGGACATGCCCTGGAGCTCTCCCTTGGTCCCTCCTTGGCCCCAATTGTGCACTGGTGGGGTCCCTCGGCCTGGCCTGCACCCTCTCACAATCCAGGACCCTTTGGGGGATGTTGGAGAGCCGGTTTCAGCCTGATCCCCACAGGCCAGGCTGAGGGACCCCACTGGTGCACGAATCCGTGCACCAGGCCTCTAGTTATATAATAAGACCTTGGGGAAGCCAGGGTTTGTAGAGGGTAGGGTATTCTGAGACTGTGAAGACTTGCTTGAAGTCCTTGCCCTGCTATGACACTGGAGAACTTTAGGAAAATGTCTTCCCCTCTTGAGCCTCAGTTTCCCCACACATGGAATAAAGGGATTGAAACTGAACTTGTATTACATACTCATATACTCATGGTTACTGCCTGCCTCCCCCACAGGAATGAAGGCCCCGTGAGGGCAGGGCCCTCAATGCTGCTCTCTCCTGAGCACCTACAACAGTGCCTGGCTCAAAACAGGCAATCGGTAAATATTTGTTTAGTGGATTAATTAGCCAATCTGTAAAATGGCCCTTCCAATCCTGACCTCTCTGATTCTAGGAGTCTGTGAATGAGGTATGGGTGGGAAAGCATGTGAGAAAACCACAATATTCCTCCCAGGGACAAGGCCAATTATAGTCTAGAAAGTTCTTTCTCATCCATAAAAACATACTGGGGGGGAGGGGAGGATGCTAACTTTGTTTTAATACTTTCTGTGTGCTAGGCCCCATGCTATGTGCTTGCTATGCATTTTCTCATCTCATCGCCACCATACCACCCACTTAGTAGGTACCATTTAAAGATGAGCATATTGAGGTTAAGAGAACCCAAAAAATTTGTCCAAGACCACACAGCAGGAAAGGGCATTCAGGATTTACTCTCAGACAAGGGAGAAACTTCTGTCTTCATTATACAATTGGGGAAACTGAGGCCCAGAGAAAGGAGATGAATTACCCAAAGTCATACTATATAATAAAAGCCTAATATGCAAATCAACCGAACGGCAGAATGACTGGTCACTATAATGCACACTGACCACCAGGGGGCAGATGCTCAATGCAGGAGCTGCCCCTAGCCCACAGGCCCCAGGCCAGCCAAGGCAGGTGCCAGCAGGGCCTCCCCCCCGCCCCGCCGCCCCTGATCACCCTGCCGGCCACCCCACAGATCGGCCCTGATCGCTGACCAGGCCTAGGGACCTTACCCATGCACTAATTTCATGCACCGGGCCTCTAGTGTAATAATAAGAGCAAACAATCATATCACTCTTATTATGTATCAGGTGCTGTGCTAAGCGCTTTTCATATATTAAATCCTCAAAACTGGTCAGTATTGCCCGGCTGCGATGGCTCAGTGGTTGAATCTATGAACCAGGAGGTCACAGTTCTGATTCTTGGTCTGGGCACATGATGGGATTGCTGGGACGATCCTTGGTAGGGGGTGTGCAGGAGGCAGCCCATCAATGATTCTCTCATCATTTTTTTTATTCTCTCTTCGTTTGATGTCT